CTTGAAAACAATTTCTTTAGCATTATGTGATTTAGGAGCAGGGAAATGAACTAGTTGTCCATCCAACACCAATAAAAAATCATGCCACTGAATAAATGGCAGGCGGTCATCTAAAATCATTACAAAAGTCCATTCCTAACCTGTTCTACGTCTACCTACGTTAAAGGTTTGGATCTGTTAGGTTTGAAAAGGTCTAAAAAAAAAGAAAAACATTTATAGGGCATAGCAGAAATGGCCGGCCCATCATTTATGAGGTTCATATCCTGTATATTGTTCACATCCTTTCACGAATGGCACAAGTCAGTGTCGAAAATAATGCATGTCCGCTCCGTTACTCTGCAGTACTTCATTATCTTAAGTTGACTATTCACAAGAACAATTTTTATTGTACCTTGGGGTTTCCATCGTTTTTCCACTAGTGTTAATACTTGTGAAAACATTACATCCGCAGCAAGGGCAGTGATCACAACACAAATGATTTCCTCTCGACCCGACAGGGTATCAGGAACGCGCGCGGGAGTACAAGATTAAGTGATGACATACGCGTGGTACATTTTACTGTACGTGTACTACAAATCAGGACGAAAATTTACAAATGGTTGATTGTAAAGAAACAATTTGGCCCATAGAGTAACGTCATGGCACAACAATTCAGCAGCGTCAAAAATCTAGCCGGAAAACATAGATACATATTTCAGACAATCAGGGACAGAAGTAGTTGACACACTTCTTTAGAACGGGTGCTTTTATCAAACATTTAATGCATTTATTATTTAATTTCATTCCTTTTAAACGCCATAAATCCCTCACCCCTGAATCAATGTTGTCTAAAGTAAAAGAAAGACTTGAGGGACCAAAATACAACATTGATTTTGGGGGAGGGATGGAGGTAGACAGGGAAGGGAATAGGTAAGTCCACTGTTCAAAAAGGGGCCATTTTACGGAAGCGTCTCAACACTTTTGTCCCTCATTGTCTGAATGCAAAATTGTACTAGTGCACACAAGTTGAGCTCTGTATGACAATGATTTCAACTGAAAATAAAGGAATCAATGACATAATTATGTTATTGGTGGTGGGGCTGACATTGACTTATTCACGACCGAAATATAGGGCCAATTTGAATTACGTGATGACGTAATAAAAGGGCTGCGGTATCTAGAATTAACGGCGATATAGTTTACAAGCTAAAAACTGAGGCTGAAACTCGCGCACATGTACAACTTTTGGTGAATTTCCAGAGTATGCGTACTGAAAATATTTTTAATAAAGTGAATATTCCTCGTTCTTTACTTTATCCGATTGATAAGACGCAAACAAGCAGGGGTAGGGTAAGGATTGACACGTATTGGGAATAGTCACTGGCCGTCCACGGAAATATGGAGCGTTAGTGAGGATCGGCCATCGCTGCGTTCAATATCGGAACTACGGAAAAGTGAAGGTAAATTCATGGCCAATTTAATAAAAAACTAAGGACAGCGTAACAAATATTACAAGTGTACGCGAAAACAATTACTTTCAATCCCACCTGGTGACACCCTCTGTGACATGATAACACAACGCAAATAGCGTGACATGAGCGCATATGTCTGAGTATTTGGACTGCATTTCTCAAGCGAAAACCTCTGTTTTTCTCTATTGTCGGCAGGAAAAATGAAAACAGAGCCTTAAAACGTGAACTGGTATCTGACTCTCAAAGAAAACGACAGCTCAAACTGAGAAAAACACTGTTTCCTTCGTGTTACAACGGTTAACCACGTTTCGGCAAACGGAAAGTAACATTAGTCTATTATGACCTCTTAATGTCGATATGTTTTCTCGTGGTTAACCGTTAAAACTCCTTATTTGCACCACATCGCTGCAATTTTGCTCGCCAAGAATAAGTATTGCAAAGCACTTTCTACATAGCGAGATCTTCTTTTGCCTTTTGTGAGGAATTAGGGCATGAAAACGGAAAATTTTGCAGCTCACGGCCGTCATCGATCACGTGCTAGTCCCGCTCTCCTTGTCATCAAGTGAACTTCTGGGCCACAGTAATTGTTTTTTTTGGCGAGATACAAACTGGTCTGTCTATCTTGAAAACAATTTCTTTAGCATTATGTGATTTGGGAGCAGGGAAATGAACTAGTTGTCCATCCAACACCAATAAAAAATCATGCCACTGAATAAATGGCAGGCGGTCATCTAAAATCATTACAAAAGTACATTCCTAACCTGTTCTACGCCTACCTACGTTAAAGGTTTGGATCTGTTAGGTTTGAAAAGGTCAAAAAAAAAAGAAAAACATTTATAGGGCATAGCAGAAATGGCTGGCCCATCATTTATGAGGTTCATATCCTGTATATTGTTCACATCCTTTCACGAATGGCACAAGTCAGTGTCGAAAATAATGCATGTCCGCTCCGTTACTCTGCAGTACTTCATTATCTTAAGTTGACTATTCACAAGAACAATTTTCATTGTACCTTGGTGTTTCCATCGTTTTTCCACTAGTGTTAATAGGGAACTTAAGAACCACGACGAAGTTCACGAAGACGACGTCTGTTGACTGGGAAAGGACTGGAACGAGAACGTCAGTTTCGGCGGGAAAAAGCAGTCGATCGATAGGTCGACGACGACGACACTTAATGTAAACAAACATGTAGAAGTAGTACAACTGTGATGTTCGTTCGCAACAAAGTTTTTTCGCAAAGGCGTCTTTTAAGACGATGCAAAATCTTATTTTATAAGCCGTACGTCTACTTTCTTTGACGATGAAGAATTTTTAGTGTTGTCTGACCTTTTCGAATGGAAAAATCTCTGCTTTCCGTACGAAGGTTATTCAACTTTCAACCTGAATGACATGACCGAGTCCGAGTGTCTGTCAGAGTTTAGATTTGGAAAAAGAGACATTCCGATACGATAGCTGTTTTTCATATAAAGTTCATTTCCTCTATATTAAAGATATATGATTTGCCTGACCTAAATACGTACAAATAAATTTGTCACTTACGAGTTCGCTCGCTCGGCCTGCAGAGCTCAGTGTTGTCTTATCAGAAAAAAGAAAAGATACCTGGATTTACGAGGTGAAAAAATACAAAGGCCTTGAAAAATCGCTTAAAAACAGGGAGTTATACCTGCCGAAGCTTGTGGACTGCAGGACGACGTGACTCTACTGTGTTTGGCGTCGTCGACGACACCACGACGACGAAATTTGTTAACCGCGCTTGCGCAGGGCACGGTATCTCACTTCCGGTCGTCGTCGACAAAGTCGTCGTCGTGGTTCTTAAGTTCCCTAATACTTGTGAAAACATTACATCCGCAGCAAGGGCAGTGATCACAACACAAATGATTTCCTCTCGACCCGACAAGGTATCAGGAACGCGCGCAGGAGTACAAGATTAAGTGATGACATACGCGTGGTACATTTTACTGTACGTGTACTACAAATCAGGACGAAAATTTACAAATGGTTGTTTGTAAACAAACAATTTGGCCCATAGAGTAACGTCATGGAACAACAATTCAGCAGCGTCAAAAATCTAGCCGGAAAACATAGATACATATTTCAGACAGTAGTCGAGCCGTTTTCTGGTCACTGTGTGGCTGTTAAGAGATAAAACATGCCACAAAGCCCTTTACAGGTCCTGCACTTGGCGGCCTTCTTATTATTTTGGGCATACGCAGGAAGCAAAGTTCTGATGGGTTTAATAGTGACACAGGAGTCCTGACTATTTCTTTTCACTTTCATTCCTCTCCACTTCTTTCGTTCTTCTTGCCTCGTTTTTTCTTTTGCCGGGCATTTACAACTGTAGCAGGATTCATTTTGTCGGGAAAAGTTTTTGGGAAAGCTTTTAGGATGAAAGAAAAGGTAGGTGGGTAGTGGAGGAAGAATTTCATTGGAATTTTCGCGTCAGCTTTACTGTTTTTTTGCCTTTTCCCCAGTCTCCTTTACTGAATCGTGCTTATCTAGTATGGATGAAAGATCTCTTCAACCCTGCACAAAGTTGTCCTTTACCGTCAACAATTAAAATGCCAATAACTGTGACATTTACATGTTTAAGCTTGTTCCTTGTTGAAATTTCTATGCTAGGAGCCAGTCTCTTTGTATGGAGACACAAAATTCTTCTCCCTGGCCAAGCTGGATCGCTCACTTAGCCTTTCTACGATTAAAAAGTTCGTGGAGGAAGAAGAAGCAAAGTAAGCTGATAACTAGCTCTAACGAATGGTTTAATTCTTATAACAGTTACCTTTAAAACAATAATTTTACCATACTGATCTTTCTAGCAATTAATCGAATAAAGCAATTATTAACAGACTTTAAGCAAATGGTTTTCATGGTTTTGGCGCTGTAAATTGACTAGTCTGAAATGTTATACTTCTCCACCCCTAACCCGTGGGGGACGCGGGGGATAGCCGAGAAGTCTGAATTGCGAGCGTTATAATGCCGTCCGGTGACTTCACCTACTTTTGCGAATACGGTAGGTATTTTCTGATTGGCTATTACCCTTCCGGAAACCTTCCCGAAAACATCCCGTTTGACAGGATAAACGAGACTTATAATTGCTGTGTGAAACATGACCTTAAGGTTAGCGGAAGTTAGCCTCTCGTCACAAAGTCACGGAAGACTTATAGTATATAGCAACTGATAAATTGACTGCCATGGTAAAGCAGAACACACCTTTTGTTACTTGTTGTTTCTATCAATCGCAGGCCTAGGCCAAACGTTTAAATTTTCATGAGACTTACCACACATAGTGAGTGAACTTCATTAAAAATTCGACGTCTGCCTTAGTTACGTTCGTCTAAATGAGTTTGGATCGTCCAACACGTTCTAGTAAGGAGAGGTCAGGAGAGTTCTCAGATTAAAAGCGACTCGTCTCTTTTAATACGTTTAAGCTCCAGCCAAGGGTGAGAAGAATGAATTCACTGCCTATGTTATGTTGTCCTTGTTAGATCAATTGCCCCACTCTACACTTTGACACTGTAAAACTGTCCTTTCAGGTTGCCAAGTAAACTGGTTATGGAATGGCCTGAGGGTAACAAGCTGGATCCTAACTCGAAAATCCCCGCAGGAACCACCATAGGTGAGTACTTCTCGACGAACTCTGTTGTATTAGACAATTTTCTTGTGACATGTAGGTGTCAGCGGGTTAATACATGTACAATTACTAATAATAATAATACATGTACAATTACCTATGGAATAGAGTGTGTATGGGGGATGCCTTCTCTGTCCACTTTATCCTCTATTGATGTTTCACTGTACCACTTGTCAAGAAATAAGCCTACTGTGAGCCATAGTGGCTTCACTGCCATCTCAGACTTAGCGGTAACTTTTAGCATCGTTTAAAAATGATGTATTTTCCATTTCTTTATCAGGTGCCATGAAAGTGGACATTTTAAACGGAAATGGTGACTCTGTGAACAAACTGCCTGGTGACAGAAGAAGATTGTTGTAGAGTTAAAGGTCATTTGGCATCGTAAGAGATAAATGCTTTACATTGTAAGGAGAAGCACATGATTTGTGACGGGCTCGCAGTATGCCTTGCTGGCTGCTCGTAGCAATAAGCTTTCCTCTTTTTTAATCAAGTGTTGACAAAACGTTAGGTCTCCATTCGCACAAAATACCTCTCTCAAGAGTTAAGAAATTTGTGTTTGCACTTGTTACTTGTGAGTACGAGGACGACATTTAATTTTAAGGACGACGTTTACGTTTTCTCGCCAATTCTCTAAAAATAGACACCCCAGAAAGCTTTGTTGTACTCGGTTTTTTCATCACAAAAGTTAGCACGCTTACTTTCGTTGAAGAAGTTAAAGCCCTCTCCGGACGGTTAACGATAAAATTCCTAATATTTGATAACCTGTTTTCGTCACAACGACATTCGCGCGAAAACTCGTAGTAGAATGACAATGGCTATCCCATTTTCCAGCCAAATTGACGTTGGCACACGTGTGCGCGCTACTTACTATTGGGAAAATCTCGCTCTTGTAGTCGTCCTCATCATAGAATCTAAAGCTGTCTAGTGTTAACTTACAAGGATCGTTATTGTTCTTTATTTACGTATTCTTTGCAGGAAGTGACAAAGATGGAGACAAAGTAATCACTAATCATGTCTGTCAACATGGAGGAAAAAGCTGGCCATACTGGTTCAGAAAAATGGGTAACTGAGCTAGTCTGCTGCTATCAGCTGTGCTATGAGATTTAGTGTTTTAATTCAGCGGATAGGGCTATCCAGTGATTGAACAACTGGGGCCAGTTGAAAACAGTGTTTGAATTTACCTGTTCTTGCTGTTGTTTCAGAAAATATTACCCTCCTTGGCCCACATACTCTTCAGCTTCAAGTGTTACTGAGTGACGGTTCAACTGCGCCATCAATTAAGAGTCTTCCAGTCCATCGTATCAAGTTTACCGTTACAGGCTTGTCAAAAATGACCAGCCAGGGACAAATTTAGGTTACATTTACACTAGATGTGATTTTTTTGGATTCGTGACGATTCCGAAAAATTTGGTTACAGATTCATTTTGTCGTAACACGCGAACGGGTGAATCCGAAATAAAAACGTCCCGAAAATTTTGAATCCGAAAAGTTTACATTATGAAAAGAATGTTTGATAAATAATTTGCAAGTTAGCTCAAGTGATAAGAGAGTTCAAAATTTAAGTTTGCACAGGTGAAACCCTTTAGGTTGGTTTATCTTTGTAATAATATTGAACTCAACTCCTACAGTAGATCTACGGGAAAGACTGTCATGTGGAGAAACTGAAAACACACGCGTAAAATCTTAAATAACAAATTACTGCGGTTTGTCAATTACTGTGGACGTTACCATTATAATTATTGTCGTCATTAACAGCCTCGTCAGAAGTCATAAAATTTTCCCTGGCATTTTCTTTTTATTGCAAAAACCTTGAAAGGGAACATTGTATTTTTGATCCACCCTGTTAAAATAACTCGTACATCTTTTGTTATCTTGTTTCTCCTTTGTCATTTCTGTTTATTTAGAGGCTCATCCAAACAAATTCACTGTTGGAATGTTGGAGACACCTCTTAGAGTAGGAGTTCCTTTCCAGGTATGCTTTCTTTGTTTCACCCCGTTCTCCACCCCGTTTTTGAGAGGATGTAGCTCCCGTAGGGGGTGGGGGGAGTTCTTCCTAGTAATAGGCCAATGGGTATGTGCCCCTGGATGGGGTCACATTTGGGTATGTGCCCCCCTGGATAGGGTCGAGAGGGTGTAGTTACCATAGGCGGAGGGTACTTCCTAGTAATAGACCAATGGGTATGGGCCACTGGATGGGGTCGCATTTCCACGACTGGGTTGACTGTAATCGGGAATAATGGTTTTGCATTTTCAGAAGAGTTACTAGAATCGGGTCTCAGGTTTTCGGGATTTTGAGGGAAAAAATCTTTATAAGAAGGGGCTTAAAAATGGGAAGTTGGGATTGTGAAAATTACATTTGCCCAAAAGTGACTAAGAGGAAGTCTATAATTGGCCACAGAATGGCCAACAGTTGTGAAGGGGTTCTAAGAGGCCAGCAACTCATAATAAGCAAAATATGATCCAAGGACCCCTAGCAATATGTCACTAGCGGGTGGTATCAAGGTTTAGCTAGTCTGAAATGGCAAATGTAACAGTCTCGTCTATATTTTCTTGGTTAAGATTCCACTTAATTTGCTGGATGAGTTTAACAACCCTTCAAAGTTATCAGAGGAAAAAGCATCCGTGTTAAGTGCAAGGTGAGTGCAATTTGATAAATTTTTAATGGAACACGGATTTGTAACCTTGGTGTTAAAGTCAATCTTGCCTTCAACGGAATAACATAACTTGTTTATATCGTTAGCGGACTGGAGTTGACTCACCAGGGAACATCAGTGAAGGGAAACAGCCTGATCGTTAAGGGTGTGGTTGCCCTTGGTTCTGTACCATCCCATGCAGGAAAGGTGAGGGGTTTTTCGGAAAAATTCTTGGCCAGTGTGATTAAATTTCTCGTAATAAAATAGGGTACGACGATATCATCAGTAGCCTTCATGATTCAGAATCTCGAAATTACATTAAATTTATCTGAACAGTTTTTTTGTTGGTTTGTTGTGAAAGGATTTTAATCTAAAGATCACCCTACCAGGACTTGAAGAAGGTTCACAGAGCTTGAAGATCAGGTTACTCTTTTGACGCCATATGTAGGTTGAGTTTGTCTTTGGTTCTCTCCCTTGCTCCGAGAGGTTTTTTCTCCGGGTACTCTGGTTTTTACCTCTCCTTAAAAACCAACACTTCCAAATTCCAATTTGATCTGGAACCTACGGACGCGTTTCAACGAGTTCTTAAGAACTCCTAAGTGCTCCGTGGGTAAACAAATTACAATTTACAATTTTCACCAGCATGTAAATTTTCCCTAAAAAAACGACTCTGAGACTGTCTAAAAAGGATGCGTTCCTTTGGGTCGATCGGGATCAGGATCAGTGATTTGGGATCACTCGGATCATGCTACATTAAATGAAACAAAGAATCCTTTTCCAGAGTTGATTTGTCGGTTCCTTAAATGTGCTATGGTCCGAGTGATCACGGATCCTGATCCGGCTCACCCCAATCGAAGACACCTTACAATGCAACTTGGCTGTAGGGTTTTAATGCTATTAAATCATATTTAATATAGTTGACGACTAGGAGCTATGGTCTCTAGTGTTTTTGGCGTTTTTGGTGGCGTGTTGGCCGTCTGTAGCGCTGTGGCATGACTATGTCTGCGTTTGTAGTGTTAACCATTGTTCGTGAGCATGGGGGCTGATTCCTGTCCAGCGGTATGTTGCTTTGGCGCATGCGCAGGCCACGTGCCTACGTTGTGTTTGCGTTGTACTCGAAGCTTTTTTAGCGTGGCGTGGCGTTCTAGTAGCGTAGCGTTTCTCTTCCCTCCCTCCGCTTTCTTGGTTTAGGGTCTCCCCCCTCCGTCCCGGATTTTTTTTCTTCGTTTCGGAGGTTTGTTCATTTTACTTCCACTGGGCTTCTGGCCTCAGTGTGACGGGTGCTATAGTGGGGGCTGGGCGCGGGGGGCTCGTTGCTGGGTTGCGGATTGGTAGACCTGTGGGTGTTCTTCATCCTTGGGGTGTGAGCGGTTACAGCCCCCTGGCCCAAGGGCACCCAACCTCCACTTGTGACGCGGGTGTAAACTGAGACGTGCACGCCCCCTTCTCACTCCAATTTTTGACGCTCTTTAGCCTGTTTCTGTTTACTGAATCACGTTTTATGCTGCTGGGCCACCAGATTCCCTTGCGGTCACACCAAATGACAGTGAGGTTACCATTGAAAATAACAGTGCCCTGCAGCTACAAGTGCAGGTCCAGGACAAAGCAGGAAACCTAACAGTTCAACCAAGGCTTAATGTTGTTTGTAAGGTAACTATGCAAATGTTCACCCCATTGTGATAATTGCTCCTTACTCCTCATATTAGAACTTCAATTTTAAAATGCTGGTTCCACAACTTTGTTAAGGAGTCACGAGGCGTTAAGTATACTCTGTTCAAGCAAATTGACGATTGTTAAACGTCCATTGCAACTACATATTTTGAAATCCCTGATAGCTCTAAGCTTTGGAGAATACACTAAACACCTCATACCTTGTTTTCAACAAACGGTAAACTGTTTGTATTATTTTATTTTAGGCAAGCTAAATAGAATCCATGATCAGTCTATACTTACTGCTGTCACGATCCCTGTGAATATGAACTTGACCTTGCTTAAGTTTTAGAACCAAAATTTGATTAGAAACTTCACAGATCTTCACATGCAGTACACTTTGTATGGAGAATAACAAATCGACAACAATTTCCCATGGTCTATTATCTTATCGATCACAGAAATGATGTCAAAATCTTCAAAACTCAAGTGGAACTACGAGCCGCAGGCGAGCTGCAAGTTTTGAACTTTTGATGTCATTTCTATGGTCGATAATTTTACCGCCAATGAAAAATTGTCGATTGTGTTTTTCAATAACACCGACGTCCATTTCTGATAATGTTTCTTGGGAAATTATATTAATTTATTTGTATTTATTTATTTTTTAACAAAGAGGTACATTGATGGCGGCCGCCATCTTAAAAGCAATGTCCACGATGGTGGGAGAAAATACCATCAATACGCCTGCTTTGCAGTTTACAATTGGCGACAAAATTGCTGCGACATTGTCCTCAAATGGGATAACTTCAGAGAACAAAACAATCCGCACCCCTCCCCCATCCCGTCCATTCAAAGTTGGGGTATTTCTTGTTTTCAACAGGTGGCTCGAACAGCGTCACAACGTTGCATGGAGGGGGTAGGGGAGGGAAAGATTTATTTTTCCCCTTTTAAGTTAGCAAGACGTCAGAGACGCCCCTTAGGACAAAGCGTCTCAATTAATTTTGTGGCCGATTGTAGGAAAATCGCGCGTGAGAGAAAGAGAAAAAAAATATATAACGCCATCACTCCATTTCCTAGTCTCATCGAGCACAGCTCTAAACCAATCAGCGTGTAAAAAATCGCTTTGTTATTGTAAAACTTGAATCTGATAAGAAACAACTTGGTGTGTTGTAGCTGACAGGCACACCAGGCTTACCAACTTACATAGGAGACTGCAGTGCATCTGGAAAGGCCTCCCTAACAGGTGAAGCAGATCACCAAGGAAACCAAATTAAAGGCCAAGATAGAGTTACCCCTTTTGGGGTTTTCATGTCCGGCTTTGGTGCGATCACCCTGCGTGCAATGCCTCCTTTTGTCGTCTTGAGTGGAAAGGAAAACAGGAGGTTCTGTCTAAATCACGTGATCCCATTAAAGTCGCTGAAGCCAGAATATCTGGACCAATCGTCAAACTGGTTTACCAAGTGGGAGCGACCGTTTTTTGATTAACTGATGGCCATAACTAAGCGCGCTGTTCCGTGTGCACAGCTTTTACGCCTGGGTTCAACACAGTTTATCAGCAACAATTACCTCATGTACAATAACAAGCTTACTCGATTTGTGCAGAGTCTTTCTCAAATACGCCAAGATCGAGAAAGTGAAAGGAAGGCATTGTCAGCAGGGTGTGGTGCGTAGTCATAAAGTTCTTACTGTACATCTCTAAATTGTATCTGGGCGTGGCTGACCAACACTCCAAACCTCAGCATGCTTGTTTGTCGTTTTTGTAAAAACACACAACAGTAGCCCTGATTTAGTGACTAGTTATGATCTTTTAGCATCATAAAGAGGTTGCTGCAGTGGAGAAGACCATTATTGTGACACCCAGTAGTAAAGCAGCAGAGCTGGAAGTGTTTTACAAATTTCCTGATGCGAAACAGAAGAAGAAGCTGGACGATGGACAGGAGCTGCCTTGAACAGCAGGAAACACACTTACTGGACTGAGTATGTGATCAACAAGAAATCAGTGTACTTAGTTTGATATGACTTTTTCCCCCTAGTTTGTCTTAAGTTGCGTAAGGAATTAGAATAGGTAATAGCATGATTTGTAATGATATTTGGCAGAAATACCACGAATGGTATTTCGAATTTGATATACGTAATTTCACGAGCCTTTAGGAGAGTGAAATTTGGGACTATTTTGAAATATCACGCGTGGTATTTATTCCAAATATCACGTACAAATCATGCTATTATTTGTTTATACTACTACTCGTAAAAGGTTTGTAATTTTCACATTAAGCTGAAATACCACTGCTCTAAGCCAATCAAATAGCAGAAATTTCTTATATAGTAGTATAACAGGCAGAGAAAAAAAAGGTTTGAAAAGGGGAAAGGCATTTAGGTGTGCACCAAAATGCCAATTCATATCATCGAGGCATGACCTCATCAGCTAAAAATTAGGAAGCTTATGCAAGGATGAATAATAAGAAACAAGCAAACAATGGGTGTTGCCTTAACTGAACTGGATAATAATAATGACACGTCACACTTTTTGGTGCAAACGCAAAGGTATTTCCGGTCGTCGCTTCTCTCCACCTGAACAGGAAACACGTCTGCGTTGGCCCGCTATCCTTTGCACAACTCTAACGCGAAATTTCCCGGGAACCCAAATGGGTGACGTGAACATATAAAGGTACATTTTCCTCTTCTTATAACTTGGGAGTGGTCACTTACAATTTATCTATAGGAACATTGGTCGTGAGTAAATTGCGATCACGATTAAGTTTGAAAGATCGAGTCTTCACTGTATTGGTGACGTCTTCGAACCCGTCGTCTTCGTGGTTACTTAAACTGTCCATTCGCCTCCTTAGAAACGAGAAGGGGACTTGAGCCCATATGTGTCCGGCAATTGTTTTGGGGATCGCTACTGGGGACACGCCCGTCAGCTATTGGCCATTTTCTTTTTCCCTGTTCTCTGTAACAGTCCAGACGTCTTTGCGAACGTCAGATTGGTCTAGTTTCCTTCTCAGTGTGTATCAGTCAATTTTCTTCTGGTGTTGGCTTAGTTCAATTTGCAGTGACATTTTATCTTTAGCCAGCTGTCAGTGGCACGGCCTGGTTTCCTCCAAAGTTGGTTAAATTTAACCCAGCGTAGCCGTTTTCTGGTGATTAGGGACCTTAAGATCCGAGGACGGCGACGGTAGCGCAGACGTCGTTAAAGTTATATCTCTTGTTACAAGGGCAAGTTAATATTACAAATGTAAATGTAGCATCTTGCTGTCACCGACAGGTTTTAGAATTCTGGATGAAGGACAGAGAGAAGTAACAATAGACAACTCCCTAGCCAGCAGATTAAAGGTAGATCCAAGAGAGGTCTTAGTCACTATAAATGGAAAGGATATAAATAATTCAATTGCTCCTCTGTAAATATCCTTGTGAAAGTCCTCGCGACAGTTAACTTGACCCATTTTCTAAAGGAGCGAATTAAATTTTATACCAATAGTCCATTTTCGGGTTGCCGAGCAAACCATCAGGTCTTTGTCAAAGCAAGGCTCGGTCCTTAATCATCCATGGGAACATTAGTTTAATTGATCTGCGTGTGAATGAAAACTTATTTTCATAATATATAGGTTTAGCCAGGGCCAAAGGCGAAGCTCCCGTTAATGAAAAAACTTTCCAATAAAGAAATCTAATTAGAGTTGAGCCTGCGATCATTTGAAAACTGGATACTTAAAAACTAAAAAACTTAAACGCAAACTTAAAAAAAAAAACAAGATGTAACCCCGATGGGTCGACATCTGAGCCAGCGATACGGTCAGGTGATACTGGTCAGCGGATACTTTTGTTTTGACAGCTGTCAACTGACCACAACATGGATGTGGAATATCAGGTTGCAGGATCCCAAACTAGCTAGAAAGTGTACCATTTCACATTGGTTTCCCTGTGGTGCGGGCGGGAGGGCGGGTGGACATACGGTCACTTGACTACCAAAATTTCTCGGATGGGTAGGTAACCAAATTTTCTTAGCTATGGGGCTTCGCTATGAAATGACGAGTAACAGGAGTTTCTTTTATAAAGAGGCTGAAGGCAATCGGAAAAGGCCTACTGTAGAACACGAGTAGCCACCTGCAATGTGAGAGCAGTCAGAGACAGAACATATCAATAAAGGAAATTGGACAAAATAGCGTAATCCACTAGGTCAACACGTCAACTCAACAATCAAGGCTCTTTAGGAAATAGGAATAACACACCATCATCACATAAGGAAACTTAGTGCGCTCTCCATCCCTCAATTGGCCTGCCAGACCAGCCCACTGCTACTGAAAATTCCAGCGTCAATCAGATCTGTCCAGCCAGAATAGTTTATTTTTTAAGTTTGTAAACAGCCGTGTTGGTTTTCTGCTGAAAACTCGAAAGAATGCCTACTCTATCGTTTTCAAGACGAACGGTCTTGACTTTTGGCCCGACTTTTGGTAAGCGTCCTTGGTGTGAATTGGCAGTTGTAAATTGTTACTGTTTATCAATGTAATGACTTGTCTTCTTTTGTCTCCAGGTTAACTGGACTCCAAAAGTTGCCAAAGACATCATCAAGCAAGGGAGTCTTCCTGATGTGAAGGTAATTACAGGACTTCGTGAAAATAAGGTTGTCGGTGACAGTTTTAGCTTCCATGGAGCAAGGTGGCACAGTTGGATAGTGCGCGGCCTTCGGTGCGTGAGGTCCCCAGTGACATCACATCCTTGATTCATCTTCTTTACTTTCTTTGTAGTTTTAACTAGCTCTAAATGCCCTTAAAATGGAGCACTGATGGAGAAGGGGGGTGGCAGGGCTGTGCTCTAGTAGAGCCCGAGCGCGGTGGCCCCTGGCGCCTAACGTTTGCTCCCGGGCTTTCCTTTCTTTGTAGTTTTAACTAGCTCTAAATTCACTTAAAATGGAGCACTGATGGAGAAGGGGCGGCGGGGGAGTGGCAGGGCTGTGCTCTAGTAGAGCCCGAGCGCGGTGGCCCCTGGAGCCTAACGTTTGCTCCCGGGCGACTAGAAAATCTCAGATTTTTCATACAAATCATATGCTGGGCTAATCATATGCTACAGGTTCAGAGCACTGTGCTTCCTTCAATTTTCCTTAGAGCACAGCCTTGGAGGGGGGTGGTAAAATGGGTGCAATGCCGACCTCAAGTTTATCAGTTGAATTGCTGTCATATCGACGTAAAATATTGTACTTTTTTTTTTACTGTACTTTTTCAAGCTGCACTTTTTGTTGCATGTTTTGGGCACTGTTTTTTTTTTATAAATCAATGTTTCAGTTTCCAATTACTGATCATTCCAAAAAAGTACAGTTAACAGTCATTGGTTTAGCGAACACATACGTGTATCGTACTTTTTGCTGCACCAACTGACAAACAGGCAGTGCTCCATTAAGGCCAAGAATATTGTCATTTGTGTGTTTATTGTAGGCACCTCTTTCTTGTGATGAACCAAAATACTGCCAAGTTAGTATGACCGGTGGAGCAGGACTGGAGTTTTCCTTTTGTAAAGTTAGGGAACTTGTCAGTCTTAAGCGAAGGAGAAACAATGGATCATTATGCGTTGTATTTGTATTTTGTATTTTATTTTTACTCCATCCTATAATACATTAGTTGTACAATAATACAATAGTTGTACAATATCAATAATACATTAGTTGTACAATATCAATTGGTACAAAGTTGCTTAAACTACGTGTACATAATAATGATAATAAAAGAAGAAAATTAGAATAGAGAAGGGCACAATATAGTAAAACTAATCATGGCCCTTTAACAAGATTGACTTTATTCTTTTGTAGTTTTGTTATTCATTAAAACACAAACACGCACGCACGCACACACACACGCACACAAGTCAATATTGAGCAAGATAATATTTTTTAAGTGCCTTTTTGAACAGCATTTTTGATGATTCATTGGCAATAGAAAGGGGAAGATCGTTCCAATAGTATTTTCTAATGACGGTAGGGCAAAACTTTCGAATATTAATTCTTGATTGGGGAATGTGTAATTGCTGAGCAGATGCACTTCGTGTAAAATAATCATGTTGCTCAGATACAAGAAATAATGAAAAATCACACGGCTTAATATCAGTGACATAATCATATAAAAACAAACAATTGTAAATTTTAACAATATCACGAAATTTTAATAAACCTAGATGAACATAATGAGGAGTGATATGATCTCTATTATTCTAACTGTTTTATTTTGTAGACGTATGAGCTGTGATAATGGATTATCATAATTATTTCCCCACAATAAGCAACGATATATGAGATATGGGTAAACAAGAGAATAGTAAATACTGGTTAAACATTGATTTCCTAGATAACTTTTTATCTTTGTCATAATATTTATACTCTTACTGACGTTATCACAAACATAGTCAATATGGTCATGCCAGGATAGGTGGCTGTCAATATAGATACCTAAGTATTTAATTTTGGATACTTGCTCTAAGCACTGGCCAGCTATCGATAGCGGAGGTAATAAATTATAATCTACTTTCTGACAAGGTTGAAAGATAAGATATTTAGTTTTTCTTAGATTTAAGGTTAATTTATTTGCACATAGCCAGTCATAAATATTAGGTAGTTCTTTATTTATCTTTAATAAGAGTTCATCTATATTTTTAGCTGAAGCTGTTAAAGAGGTATCGTCTGCAAATAGTCTCATGGAGAAGAAATCAGAAGATTGAGTAAAGTCGTTTATATATATATCAAGAATAACAATGGTCCTAAAATTGATCCTTGAGGTACACCAGAAGAAATTGGCATGGTGTCAGAAATGTTACCATTGACAAAAACTCTCTGCTTTCTTTTATTAACATACGATTTGAACCAGTCGATATGAGGTTTTTGAATGCCATAGAACGATAGCTTTGATAATAGAATCGAATGATTGACGGTATCGAATGCTTTACTCAAATCTAAAAATATTGATACAGCATAATCTCCTTGATCTAGAGAGGTAGAGATTTCTTCAATGAGATCAACAAGACAGTCCACAGTGGTACTGCCTGGCGGCTTAAACCCATATTGAGTAGGAGTGATAATATTTTCAGACGAAAAATAAGATATAAGTTGATTATAAATACATTTTTCAAAAACTTTACTTAATACTGGAAGAACTGATATTGGTCTATAATTATCACACAATGAACGGGATCCCTGTTTAAAGATAGGAATCACTTTAGCGATTTTTAGATTATCAGGAAAAGTTATTTGCTTGATGGACAGATTAATTATATACGTTATTGGACGAAAAATTTGAAATGCCTTAACCGAGACCAAAAAAGGGTGAAGTTTATCTACACCAAACGACTTTTTACCATCAAGATTATCAAGAATTAGAAAAACTTCTATTTCATGCATTAATGTAAAACGAAATTTAGATCCAGTCGATTTTAAAAAAGAGCCAAAATAACGATTTGATTTAGGCAGTTTAGAGGCAAGTCGACTAGGTATGTTGCAGAAAAATTTATTTATAACATTAGAAATAGAATTTGGTTGTAAATATTCTTTGTCATCAATTTGGAGTTTGTCGATATGAGAAGAAGGGCGCCTTTTGTTAATAATGAAGTTTATATTATCCAAAATTTTCTTTGAGTTGGTAGAGTCAGCAAGAATTTTATTATAATACAAGGTGCGATAATATTTATTTGTGGAAACTATTTTATTACGATAAAACTTGTATTTGTTCAAAAACAGTATATTTCGTGTTGTTAACCATTTTTTGTACAGTTTGTCACGCACCTTCATTGACTTTTTCAAACCTGGAGTTATCCATGGTTTGGAAGTACAATTTTTCACCTTAGTTGATTTCAACGGGGCATGTTGATTACTTATCGGATTGAAAATGTGAAGGAATCTAGTTAAACACTCATTGACATCGCTAGTAGTGAAAAATGGAGACCAATCTACCTGAAAAAATGCCGTCTTGAATAGCCCACTGTCAAATCTCTTAAAGTCTCTATATTCAAGCTTATCCGGAAACGGGGTTTGATCTAAATTGTACAAAATGGTAAAGACTGGAAGGTGATCAGCTATTTCCACGGCAATACTTCCACTCGTAGATGGTAACGAAACGTTGGTATAAATATGATCAATACAAGTCTGGTTAGATTCAGTAACCCGAGTTGCCTCGAATATTAAAGGACTGAAACCTTCAGAGCGCAGCAAATTTAGGTATTCTTTTGATATGTTACTTTGTTTAAGCGTGTTGATATTATCGTCACCCATAATCAAACATTTCTTCTTGGAGAGGTAAATTGTATGTAAATTTTCCTCAAGCTTATCTAAGAAATCACGATTAGATAAACTGGGCGGTTTATATATAACACCAATAATTAAGTCTTGTGTTTCTATCCACACATTTTCTATAGTATCTATTCTCAAGTCATCCCGTAAATGAAAGTTGCGATCAGATTTTACATACAATCCTAATTCATTCAATTCATCAATAGTAAAAATCCCGTGGTCATTAAAAAATTGTAAATTCAAGTCAGGATCATTTTCGTTTCGAGCCATTTGCATAAAGTTTATCACAAACGATACATACAAGCAATATTGAAATTGTAGCCACTTTTATATAGAACCCCATCAATATACAAATTACCGTGGTGAAAACGGGGCTTCTTTCCTCCTCATACGCTTATTTCATGATTTCTTTTAACTTCTTCTTTTTTTATCTGTCCTCCCAGATTAAATCGTCAGATATTCTCAAACGATTCTTTTGACTTCTCTTATTCTGGATTACCTGAAGACGTTCCGGTCGATAAAGAAACTTGGCAATGACAGGTCCCGGGTCATTTGAAGCGCCAGTCCTAGGTCCCCCAATCCTATGCGCGTTCTCTATCACGGTTTTGATGCCCAAATCATTAGATAGTATGGTCTTCAATTTTTCAATACAGTTCTCATTATTGAGTCCTTGGGAATGTTGTAAAATCGTAGGTTGAAATCTCTTGAGTAACGTTCCAATGATAAAAGCCTTTCGTACGCTTGGTTGACATTAGTAGCGAGCTTGCTGACCTCATCCTCCAATTTGTCAACTCTGGTCATGGCCACGTGGACTTCGCCGTTTAGAATATCGAACTTTAGGTTAAGCGACTCTGTAGTTCTTTCGAGTTTTTGTTCGAAAGTTTTCAAGTCTTCTTTGAATTTTGCTTGATTCTTCTTTATGGTTTCGACATCCTGTCGAATCGTTTCCAGGCAGTCCTTCACATACGATTGAAAACTATCGTCATTCACGTCTTGCTTCTTTCCTTTCTTTGACATATTCAAATAAAAGACAACAGGAACTCTTACACGAAAAAAAACTAAAGTATTTAAAGACACAAAAAGGCAACGCAAACTACAGCTTCAGAAAACGCGGCCATCATCATCGCTGACCGCTGACTTTCTGGGAAACTGCCCTCCTACCCCTCCCCTAAGCCAACATTAACACTACCTGCCACTTAGGGCAAAATGTTGGCTTAGGGGAGGGATGATCCGAAAAAAAAGTGCATAAAAATGACAGAACAGTGGACCTTCTTACAACAGGTATTGAAGCCAGGGAGACGGACATAGCTTTAAACCGCTTACCTTGGCTGTTAGTTTCCTGTAAATTACCTCTCAGTCAACTAATCTCTCTTTTCATAACTCCCCCCCACCCTCTCCCTTATTGTGTCTGCCTTTGAGAGTGAGGTGAGTGAAGAAGTGGTTGGTTTCATGAACTTCAAGTATATCTATACGTTGCCTTTTCAGTATACTTTTTCCTATTAAATGTGCTAATATCATTCTACGTATATAAAGTTTTGAACTAACTTTTCTGGCCATTATTTTGAGCACTAGGCGAGTTTTCAGAGCTAATTAGAGAATCGGAGTTGGTCTTGCGAATAGCTAGGGAAGTTAAGCAACTAACTCGACAACGGATATAACAACTGTTTTAAATTTTGTCGTTACCATTGTTGTGGTTTCTTAAGCTGGTTAAGAAAAAGAACAAAGCAATTTGTCTAATTTCTCTCACGCTCTATCTACAGACCCCATGCCGACGCTCCCAGCATCTTGAAGTGCTCATGCAATGAGCCTCGCATGAGATTAGGAGAGCCTCTAGCATCAGATATTATTCTGTCAGCAACTGATAAACGTGGCAACAAAACAGGCAAGGTGAGGAATTTCCTTTCAGAACCTCTTCTCTTTGGCAAAACCAATCTTCAAGAATTGTTTCAGTAATTCGTTTTAGTTTTTAATCAACAAAATTATTTGATTGTTTTCTCGTTTTTTGTGTTGTTTTGTAGTTTCATGTACAGTTTTTCTGGTTCAGATTCGTCAGTTTTTTAGTGATTCACTCCTATTTTCTTCCGTGTATTCTCTAGTTTCCAGACCACTTATTGCCAGAGTTTTACGTTTCCTAAGGTGGACTGAACAAAAATTTCTTTTATTCTAATTTGTCAAAAAAAAGAAAAAACTGTAACATGTTTGCCAGGCTTGTTGGCCATCACCCTCGTATCATGTTTTGCTTGATTGTCTTCTCATTTTCTATTTTGTTATGCTTCCTCCTACAGTATTCATGTACAATCTTTTCTTTTTCATTAGTCGGTTTCAAACCATTTTTTGCCTTTTCTTTTTTCTCTGGATTCATTTAGCTTCCCAACCACGTCTTGCCAGAGTTTCATGTTTCATCAGACGGGCTAAAAGAACGAGAAGTCCAATTGGGATTCACGGCTGTAAGTACCGGCCGATTTGTTCTGATAACCGACTCTTTTTGTTATTCATTCTTGCAAGGAGTATTCTTACAGACTGCGTGCTCAAGCTGTTGAACGTACTGGAAGTCACCCAAAATGGTGGAAATGGTAATTTCGAGTTAAAGGGGCTTTGTCACGAAATTTTTCAAAATTTAAACGTTGAGAACTGCCACCAGATATAGTGAAACATAAAGGTAACCGCTCAAAACGTTGAAAGAGGGACTAAATATCAGATCAAGTACGAAAAGAGGCATGAGTGGACAAACTTGAATGAGATAGAAAGGGATTGTAATTGGAGTTTCTGAAAACTTGTTAGGCTAACAGTTTTGCAAAGTAACGTCTGATATGATGGTGGGGAAACAGTTTTGTTTTACTTTAGTAGTTTCCACTTAAAGGGACAGGTTCACGGTTAAGCGCATGCTCATTAATTAAATTACTTTTGTTCAATTTATTATTAATTCAATCGGTTAATAATCCCACTCACGTGTATCTCAGCGATCTCAAAGTGCATTTCAAAGTAAAAGTGTATTTCAGAGTAACCTGAAGTAGGATGGAGGAGTACTAAAATCGCAGAAAAAATTAGTGGATTATGCCAACACTACCAACGTTTAATTTATTGTTGACCCGAAGGTTTTATTCCATGGTTGGTGAATTTACAGCTATTTGCAAATAAGTTGGTCAAGTAACTGCCAGGGGAGTGTGCAGATTGGTTCTTTGACAACACTATGACATGATCATATTGCGTGCATAGATGATACAGCATGTCCCGGCCGAAAAACAGCATTTTGATAAATGAGCATGCGCTGAACCGTGAACCTGTCCCTTTAATGCCATCCTGCCCCAATACTTCAAAAAGAAGGATAGCTTGAAACCAATTGCTTTATCCAGTAGAAAGAGATTTTTCCTTTGGGATAGGGTTATCCACCCTTTAATCAACTGGAGCCAGGCTTGTAATAAGAAAATCACAATAACCTATCTCTACAATTAGCAATTACTGAATGAGGCTGAGTAGGAGGTGAAGAATCGAGGAGGATGTTATCTACCGAGGTTGAACTGCCTTGCATGTTCCAAATTTGGTCAACACCAGTTGGTTATGAAGAATTAGCCGGGGGCTTTGCGCCAATCAGGAGTGTTGAAATATTTTGAGTGAATGATAACTGCATTTAAACACCTTCTGCAGGGTTTATTCTAGAGCGCAGCCTTGCGGGATTTCCGCAATTTGGAAAAAAATGCCGCATAAAATTTACGTTGCCGCGTCAAACGGGGCGCAAAAAAAAATAGAGCCAAGAATAAGTACTAGTTTTTTGAAATAAAGTATTCAAAAACATTACTGACAACAACACTGATTTGACGGCCGCTCTTTAAACTTATTTCGAACTTTTATAGCCTCCTACTTTCTCATTTGCCTTTCTCCTCTTCGTTTGAGTCATTATTTCACCAGACAAACATCCGAGATCCTGCAGTAATTCGAGCCCAGGCTTTTTCAGTTGCCCAGAATGTTCCAAAATGGCGGCAACGCGTCAATAAAGGTTCGTTTTCCCATGGAACAGTCTGCACCAATAAGTTCAAATACCTTTTGGGGACCCCCCCTTTCTTGAAAAAAGGCCCCCTAAAATTACAGAAGGGGGCCCATTTGACCCTCATTGGCCAATTTTTAGAATCAACCCTGCTTCTGGTAGCATGACTCTGCCAAGGAATTGCGTTTGACGTTTTAGTTGCTGTATTTGTATCCTTTGCTTACAACCCTGCTCTGTTGTGTTTTGTAGGATGGTAATATCGTAATCAAGAACATTCAATTTGAGGAAGGCCCCCTTGGACACAGAGAAGTCAGCATTAAATGGAAAGATCTTATATGTTATCAAAGACTAGGGGTGAGTATTTTAGTATTTTTACCATAGGTTGCGTGTTTCAATATTTCTTGTAATTTTGAGGTTAAACTTCATGTGTGCAGAATCTAATGCAAATGAGCGAGAACAATAAAATTTTCCTACTAGTGAAAACCAAGGTTACGGAATGTGGGCGACAACGATCGGAGGTCAAAACGCTTTTCCTCCAACGCTGTGCTTTGCGCAAGTTTCACCTGACAGATGGTAAAAACATGCGTGATCAGATTATGAGTGATAGAAGGGCCCAACGTGCGTAATGAGCATTCCATTCATTGTAGGTGGAAGTCCAAACGAATGCAGGCTACATACATGCGACGCATGCGTAATAACAACCTGTATATTAGGATTGCGTGCCCCTCGTATCGCCCGCAATTAGCGTTGATTTCGGCACATGTCAGTGAAGCTGGACGTTCAGGACGGGCCTGAGAGAAATCATCACTTGCCCTAATTATACATAGGCATGGATAACATGTCGAAGAGGTTAATAAACTTGTAAAATGATGTAATGAACAAGAAAGTTAAATTCTCCCAACTAATTTTATATGGAATTGTATAGTTCAGTCTGGAGTATTTATATGTGGATGTACTTGACTACTTATCTCCCTCCAATGTGGCGCGGGTTCATCTGAGGCGGACCGTCATGTTGTGTTTGTTGATGCTTCTCTCCCCCTTGGCTGATTCTTTACCGTGTTGCTCCTTCTCTCTCTTGCTTCAAGAGAGCAATGTAGTTTTCCTCTCGCCTCAAAAAACAACAATTGTAAATGGCAATTCGCCAGATGTGTACAAACATTCGAAACCCAGATATTTTTAAATTTACGTGTACATTGTACAAACGTTTTAGATTTAGAGGAAGTGCATCCATGTAGTGGTTATTCGTCTACTAATCTTGATCGTATTAGACTACAAAACAGTCGGTTTTGCAGTTTCCGGTCTCAAAATTTGTTAAGCGTAACTAAAGAGTCTCGCGCAACGGTCTCTTCCCAGTCTCGATATCCGTTTTCAGCCTCGCTCCAGACCTTTTGTTTGACTGCTTGCGCGTACTTGGATACGCAAAAATACGGACTGTTTTGCAGTCTATGATCGTATGGAAATTTGGAAATGTTGGTTTTCGCAGAGAGGGGAGATCGGAGTACGCGGGGAAAAACCTTTTTGAACAAGGAAAGAACCAATATCAAACTCAAGCCACTTATGGTCTCGCTTCTGGGACCCAGCAACATAAGTGTAACGCGGGTGGTCTCTTTCTTGCCTTCCACTTGCAGCGAACTTGGAAAAAAAAAGACCCAGACTTTTGCAAGCGCTAACAAAGCAAACCTATTTGTGAGAGCAAATTGTCATGAGTCAATTTGAGTTTTTGACCAGACCTACATTGTTGGTATATTAATGTTTGGTTTTTAGGTTATTGCAGGCCCACCAGCGAAGCTCAAGATTCTAAAGTTTGATCATTCTGAGGTAGGTATGAAAAACGCGTGTCTTGGACCCAGTGTTTCAGTGTTCCATCTTCAAATTTTGAACACTGAGTTCAATCTATCAATGAGCGAGTCCCAAACCCACTGAAAGAGCGTCCTATTGACGCTTGGAGCTTGGAGCCCCACGTGACATTGGATTAAGAGGCATAAGCACATTTCAACCATGACTTCTTTGACTCTTCAACAACACTTTCATGCACAACAATGTTGAGTATAAAGTCTTTTTCTCTCCTCAGTGAGTTAGGGCATTTTCCATTTGCCAGAACTGGCCGACCAGCACATTCCCGTTGTAATGATAATTTTACTTTTAATCAAAGCTATCCAGCCAGATCAGTCAAATTCTAAATAGTATGCACGAAGGAAATCGTTTTTCCTCAAAGGCTCTTGGAAAAAGCCTATTTCATTTTCAAAATGACAGGTCCAGCCATGGTCTGGCCGGCCAGTTCTGACTTTTGGAAAGCACACTAAGTTAGAGTGCTTGTTGAGATTGCCTCGACCTCTGACTTGCGGTAGTGCGAAACAACATCGCTTGGGAAGCTTCCTATGCGTTATCAAGCCTGCTCTTGTACAAAGTCGAGTTCATAATGTGATTTGTTTTACTTGTTTTACAGCCACTTTCAGTGTTTAACGATACCAAGATGCCATTTCCCCTTACTGTTCAACTGTGCGACAAGCTTGAAAACCCCTCCGATGAGCCTAATGTTAAGGTGGTCCTTAATACGGACAGAGGAATTAAGGTGGGAATCTCAGTTTTTGTTACTCAATTAAAATTTGACCAAGCCTTTAATTGTTTGGCCTCCTTTTAATAAATGCAGTTTCAGTCGAACCTCCACTAATAGGGAGCTTAAGCAACTACGACGAAAACATCAAAAAACAACAAGTTTAATGATCAAAATAACAGCTCTTCACGTGCATCATGCTTTTTAGTACATTTATTTGGCGTCCACTGCACGACTACGACGTGAAACCTCCTAATTTGACGTTTATGGGGGACGTGGACATAGGACGACGAATTTTTCTTCCTCTTTTTGAACCTGAATAAGCTCCTTAAGAATTCAACTCCGGGAAAAGTCGCCTGCATTTGACATATTGAGCGGGTACAAATAGACCCGATTAAGTTTGAAAGAACGCAAATTCATTTCTTTGGCGACGTTTTCACTGCCGTTGTCGTCGTCCTTGCTTAAGGTCCCTAAGGAGCACCTCTCCACAACGACCACTTTTTTTTTCCCAGGAGACAGTCCATAGATTGACTCTTGTCCAAACCTCTCATCAACGGCAACGGCCACTAAAGCGTGTTTCCAAGTTCCAAAATAAGGGAGTTTAAGCAACGACGACGACGACGGCAATGAGAACGGCAAAAAGGCAATAGGTTAGATTAGCAAAACAACAACTTTGCACGTGCATCACGCTTTTTTGTACTTTTCTTAACCGTCGTTGCACGACTACAACGTGAAAGTGCCTAATTTCACGTTTTGTTGAGGACGGGAACACAAGACAACAACTTTCCTTTTCTTTTCCAAAAAATATTGCCCACATTTGACGAATTAAAGTGACGTTTTCATAGCCGTCGCCGTCGTTGTTGCTTAAGCTCACTATTAGGGACGTTACGATCCGACAACGGCGACGCCAATGAAAACGTCGCTGAGAAATAGACTTCGCGTCCTTTAAAACTTTTTCGCCCTTATACCAAGTCACTCAGTCACTTGAAAGTAGGGAAGTTAAGTTAGAACTGAAGAGAGGGGACCACGTCCGAATTCAGAGAGAGAAAGCAAAATTTATCGCCTTGCCGTTCCCGTTCTCAAGTCAACTCAAAATTTGGTCATTTCACGTCGTAGTTGGGCAGGGACGGCAAAGAAATATACAAAAAGCGTGGTGCACGTGCAGAGTTGTTGTTTTGCTCATAAAAACTATTCTGTTTTAGACGTTCCCGTTGCCGTCGCCGTTGTAGTTTCGTAAGGTCTCTATTTCCTCTCGACAACGGCCAGTTTTTTTCAGCAACCGATGAAAGAGTCAAGAATGGTGATAAAGTATGATCCGTATGGCGCATTGGTGATTAATCGTGGCAATCGTATTTTGATTGTGATCCATTTATACTGCTGCAGTAAGCATAAACTGTCTACGATACTTCTAGCGAATGTTGCGAGCCTTGCTTGTTTTGGGACGTTAACATTTTAATTCAAAGCAATATTGAAGTTTTTTGTGTATTTTAACTCTATGTATTAAATATGATTGGATTACCTTTATGGAATACAATAAAATAAGAATGAACTTAGTAGCGCAATAAACATGTTGTACTCCCTATCTCCTAATAACGGCCACCTCTCCAGAACGGCCACTTTCTTCTGTCCCTAAGGTGGCCGCTGTCGAGAGGTTCGACTGTATTATGTAATCTGCGACCTTTTCTTGCACTTCAAAAGATCTGGTCGATGTTGCGACTGAACCGTTTTTACTGCCTTATTTTTTGAGCTTTCTATCGCTAGTGCGTCGAGCACCTGATTATGCAAATTTATATAAATCTATGCAAACTGATGCTTCTAATTGTGGTATTTTTATTTATTTTTTTTTTTTTCAGTTGACTCCAGCACCCGCTCAGCAGAAGACGGACAGCAAGGGTCAAGCAACGTTTGGTCAACCTACTGTGAGCGCAACCAAGTAGGTGGAATATGAACATAAGTCTTCTTGTGCCCGTGTTCCTGCCTCTTACTTGATAGCTCTTACCTCAGCCCTTAATGAACGTTAGAGTCAAAGAGAAGCTTTCTTTACTTTGTACACCATTTCTTAGTTCTGCTACTCGGCAGTTTTAATTCCTTCTTAACGGCGCCTCTATTAGTGGGACCCCTAGAGTTGGTCCCTGCCTTTCCTTAGTCATTTTATTTGACTTCCTATAAGATAGAGACCTTCCTAAAACAGACACCTAGAGTTGGTCCCTGCCATTCTTTATTCATTTTTTTGGACCCTCTTTAAAACGCACACCTCCCTAAAACGGACACCAAGCGTCGGTTTCTGCCATTCTTTAGTCGTTTTCTTTGACTCTCTATAAGATGGACACCTCCCTAAAACACTTAGAGTTTGTCCCTGTCGTTCTTCATTCATTTTCTTTGATTCTGTAGAAGACGGACACCTAGAGTTGGTCCCTGCAATTCTTTAGTCGTTTTCTTTGATTCTGTTTAAGACGGACACCTCCTTAAAATGGACACCTAGAGTCGTTTGCTACCATTCTTCGTTCATTTCCGTTGACTCTATAAGACGAACACCTCCCTAAAAAGGACACTAAATGCCGGCATACACTTTGTGCCGATCAAAAAGATATCCGTCGACTTTAAGAGCCCCAACCTTGGCATTTCCTAGGAAACAACCTCTTCCTCGGTCATAATTTAAGTCTGTAAAATAACTCGCGGAAACGTGTCTTTGAAAATCAGGGGAATGTATGGAATAAGAATCAAAGCCCTGCTTGGAAGAACTGCATTGGATGCGCCTACGATAAGCGTGAGGTAAGTTCTGTGAAGCAGGTTAACACACATTTCACAATCACTCACGGATTTGGTCGAGAGCTCTGATTTGTGAGAGTTTAGACCTCCGAAATGGCGTCAAAATGTTTAAAACTTTAGTGGAACTGCGAGTTGCACTCCAGTTGTTTCATTGCAGCGTATCAAAGATGTTCACGTTATCTCTGTGGTCTGTAAGAGTAAAGTCAATGGAAAATTGTTGTTTATTTGCCAAAATATTCAATATTTTGTATCAATAGAGATGTTGAACGTGGCATTTAAAGCAAAAGGAAACGGTAGAGATCAAATCGGCTATTGAATTCGCTTTTGCCATTTTCGGTGAATATGTTGCATACGTTAGCGCTAGCGTTGGAAGAAGTCGGACGCGTCAAAGCTACTTGCGATCGCTTTCCTCAAGTTGGTGCTTTTAATACTGTAATTTCCTGTGGTACCTGCCCGCTTTTTCTAGCTGTAGCTATTTGCGGGTAGTTACATCTGCACTGTCATATTCTAATGATAAAGTTGTCGTTGTTGTTGTATGTTTTGCATTTCAGAGTGGAGCCTGACCCATCAAAGGCTGTAAATCTTAACGTCACGTTTGATTCTAATGCGCCGTGTGTCGTTGGAGAGTTGTTACCAAGTAAGTGAGACTATTAGATTGACAGTAGTCTGGTAGGATTGTTGCGCAGGCAAGTGTATCCCAAGCAAGCAAACGGGTTTCCAGTTTTGCCGTCAAAACTTGCGCTTTCCATAGGCTGGATTTCCGCCGCTATCTCGGGTCCGGTCGAGGTCGCAAGCTCATTAGGGAGCTTAAGCAACGACGACGGCGACGTCGACGAGAACGGCATAAAACAATAAGGTTTAGATCGGCAAAACAACAACCTTGTGCGTGCATCACCTTTTTTTTTTTACGTCGTTGCACGAGTACGACAAACTTCCCCTTTTTTTTTTTTTTCGTGAACTCAGAATTCAACTCCTGAAAAATTAGCCATCATTTGACAAATTAAATAGTTGGGATAAGAGCAATGAAGTTTGAAACAGCGCGAATTCACTTTTTGGGTGACGTTTTCTCCATCGTTGCCGTCGTCGTTGCTTAAGCTCCCTAGTTACCGAACAGCGACTGATAATCGAGTCTAGACTACGAGTAGTCCCCATTTTTCCTCAGGGATAGTAGAGCGAGCGAAACGCGAGCGCGCGTGAAAATCACCTCACGCGAGAAAGGCGAGACGGGGCTACTGACGGGTTAAGACTGCATTGCAGGTCAAATACTTTGTCTAGTGATTCTGCATTTTAACCATTTAATCCCCAAGAGTGACCAAGATCCATTTTGTCCTAACAATATCAACACATAATCAAGAGAAACGGTTATGAGAATTTATATAATGATCAACTAAGGGAAAATGCTTTGATTTTTTCTCCACTTTCAGCAGCATCTGACTGATATTAGCTATAGGGAATTCTCAGCCAAAACGGAAAGTGATTTGCAAGGACTTGTTCGATTAGCACCCTCTGGGATTTCAGACCTACAGGGTGGCAATTCTCCCAACTAAGTCTTAAGGGAAATGTATAGAGATCAGTCTGGAGAATTTGTGGGTGGATATCGAGGTTTAATACAATTGGCTATGTCTTTCTAAGCATTGCGCTCAGCATTGTGTGACCAAATTCCAGGTGTTTGGAGATCTATAGGATTTTACTTTAACCTGAATCTGAGTTCTACCATACAAATTCAACTTTAAAGCAGTTTGGCCACGTAAGGACATTGATATATTGAACACTTTTACCTGAAAATTTGATTGACTCATTCCTTGGGTGGGTGTTAGCATAACAGGTTCAGGTTGGGGATGTTTTGTCCCCAAACAAACCTACTGTCCTGCGTTTCAGCTGTTTCGGCCCATGTCGTTGGAGAGGACGAGGCTGTAATGAAAGCAGCAAGTGCTAAGGACATAGTGTTGAAGATATGGCACTCTAAGGACGGTCCAGTATCAGACAAGCCGCCAGCCAGGGTATGTTATAATAGCCTGTTTTCTTTCACATCACATAGTAACTGGGTTTCACAATACATACACTGTAAGTGTCAATATTCTTAGGCACTAACTAGCCGAGAGCCGTTTTCCAGGGCTGTCACCAAGATTTCAAGTTGACGTTATATGCAATCAGTAGGCGGGAAATTGAACTTCAAGGAAATCGTTATGTCCTAGTTTCCTTTTGTTTCTTATGAAAGTAGATGGGCAGTGCCTGATCCAGACCTTGAGATGAGGGGGGGGGGGGGGGGCGGTCATCCAGACCCTTAGATAAGAGGGGGGGGGTGGTCTCCCAAAAAAATTTCTTCGGCCCTTCTGGCTTCAGTTTGGTCCAAAAAATAATGGAGGGGGGGTCGGGCCCCCGGGTCCCTCCCATGGATCCACCCCTGCTGGGAATCATGTTCCTACTATCCGGAGGAAATCCCCAGCCCTTTCCTCTTAGTGACAGCATATTCACAGCAGAAGGGCTTGGTTACTATTCAGAAGTGGTAAAATGACTGGCCTATTGTTGATAACTTAAACTGTTATCGTACTGAAGTCACAACGGTGTAGCATAATGCCGCTGTTAACTGAAACTAGCAAGGCTTAACATTTTACTTTTATTGTAATTTTGTTAAGGCCACAACGTTGTACCCATCAAAGCGGAAGTTAACGGATAAAGATGGAGAATTCTATTTCAGGTAATAATAATAAGAAGAATACGAATAAATATGATAATATAATATGTATATTGCGCATATACAATGGAATGCGCATTACAAACGGTGAAATAAAAATAAGTCGATTAAAAGCTATCTTAAAAAAGTACGTTTTGAGGGCTGTCTTAAAAGATGTAAGGCTCTGAATGTTTCTTATCTACGCCGAAAGACTGTTTCACAGTTTGGGAGCTGCCGACTGAAAGGCTCGGTCGCCAAGTCAGTTGGTAGACACAGTGCGTTGACCGGTACCAACAAAGTCGCATTCTTGGACCTAAGGGTGCTTTCCATTTGTCAGAACTGACCGGCCAGACCATTCCCGTCGTAATGACAATTTCACTTTTAATAAAAAATATCCAGCTAGATATAGTTTGCACGAAGGAGATGGTTTTTCAGCAAAAACTCTTGGAAAAAGCTTATTGCTTTGTCAAAATGACTGGTCTGGCCATGGTCCAGCCGGTCGGTTCTGACTTTTGGAATGCGCCCTAAGATTATTTATATCTTGACTGGGCAGCGACCGCAATAATATCACTGAAGTATGGTTGATTGAGTAGTTTTCAACGCAAGCAATGCAAATTTTTTCGTGAATTCTCTTGTAACCATATATTGTAAACTGCACTCACTAGGGACCTCAAAGTACCAGATATGTCAGGTGGCTATTGTATGGTAGTACAGTTTGGATCTGCAGGAGCAGCCACACTCTCTAGTAAACCGGTGAGAGCATTGTTTGTTTTACGTGGAGTCTTCATTACTAGTTACTTCTTGCACAAACCCTTATTCTATTAGTAATAACATTACTTTGAAGAGAACTTGAATTTTTATTTGTAAATTTCTATTTGTTGTCTGCAACGTTAGGAAGAGCTACCTTCAGCGAAACACACCGAATACCACCTTGTGGTCTTTTTTTGTCTGCAACGTAAGGAAGAGCTAACTTGAGCACAACACACCAAATACCAATCTGGCATCAGCTTACGACAGTCGTTTCCGATTAGTACAGTAGCTCTTCCAGACCTCTATTTTGATTGGCCCTAATAATCAGTAGCTTCTTTTGTTTTAGAGCTAGGGGTATTGTTTGTTGTTGAATCATCTGTTGTTTCGTTCTGCAATCACAGACCATGTCTGAAAAGCTACTGACCTTCTTCCTTCCATTGCACCTTAAACCTGTTCACTTACGAAGAAGCACTTCCGTTTAGCGGCATATTTTACAGAAGATTCATTTCATTTTTGTACAGGTTAATCAGTTTTATTACCTGTAAAAGAATATGTGGAGGAGAGTTGTGTTTAGAAATGCATACTACCCAGCGTTCGAAGAGTTCGTTGGCCTCGTCAGCTAAATACCTTCCCAATTCTTAATGATAGTGAGAGCCAACTATGTTCGTTAACATAGAGTTTCACTTACTATCTCTTGCAGATCACATTCACAGCAAAGGCTGGTCTCCCTGTGAAGCTTGAACCGGAGACGATGCCTGCGACTTCTACTGTTTCCAACACTCAAAGGACCAACAGCCGAACCCTGGTGAAGACACTCAAGTTACAACTTAAGGTACTAATATTTACTGTTTTTGGTTGTGTTCTCTCCTCATTGTAATGCAAAAATGGTCCTACATCTTCTGTTACCAGTTACCAGTTCTTTGCGACGTCGTGCGTATAATTGTAGGCCAGCGTTGGTGAGCATTAACTCTGTAGAGAAATTGGTTTGTGTAAACTTTGGGAAAAGAGTTGCAGAGTTGGTTGCCTGCAAAGATTTCGTCCGTAATTAACTAGTCATGATTTTAGCAGCACTGCTACTTTGAAGATGAGTAGCAAATCGCTGAAAATGAGCAAAAGAAAAGAAAAAAATGAACAACAAAAAGATGAGTCCATTGACGGCGTCAGTGAAGCGTATCACGAAGGCGATGACGATTATGTCACCAAGAAGGACGTTTACGAAGTGATGAAAGTGCAAGAGTCGATGTCTCGTAATTTGTTTGAATCCATGTTGACCAGTGTTAACAATAGAAGTGATGGTGTGATCAAAGACCTGACAGAATTGAAATCAAGTATTCGTATCACCATAATCTTCTGTCTAGTAGCTTTCGCAACCTCTTTTTAAGTAATAGTCAGGTTCACCATTATGAAACTCAACTAGCCTTTCAGCATAGACCTCATTTCTGTAGAACTAATATCAAGCAGTTCGGTATCCTTTATCGAGGACCAACAATCTGGAATTCGTTGCCAATTTCACTAACCAGCTCCTCTTCCATATTTCCATATAAGTTTTTTGTTGGTTAGTTAGTTAGTTTGCTTGTTTATGTTTTGGATTTAACATAACGAACGTAGGGCATTTTTCTCTTTTCTGACCTGAAACCAACTAATGTTGCAGCTCTCGTTAGTTGCTGATCTCTAAACAACGTTAAAAAGCCCTCAGCATGCATAATTAAAGGTCCATTTCAATATTCAAGATTGCTTGATACACATTTGTTGAAGAACAGCTCAAACATTTGTTGGTCAGCAAAGTGGCCTTAGGCAGCCTTGAGACAAGATTGCTCACTCTGCTGTTTGTTTTAGGACAAATTTGATAACCTGACTGGTGAGAATCTAAAAGGAAAGGTGGTTGTCAAGGTAACGACACCATCAGAAGGCATTGACGAGATCCCTGCTCTTAATGGAAATGTGTACTCCTTGGAAGTACCCCTGGTCAAGGGCGTGGCCACAGTACAGAACCTCCTTATTCAAGAGAACACTGCAGGCAAAGACGGACAGGAATACCTGCTGAACTTTCACACTCAGATTCCTCCTAATTCTTCGCCTCATCCTATTCCCGTGTTTACATTGGCATTCTTGTTTTACAATGGCAAGTACTCTTCAGTTTCATGTAGTGCTGACTTTCTTCTTCATGATTAAGGGCCTGTTTACATTGAGGCGGGGGACCCCAGGTAGGTGAGGTAACCTGCTTAGGTGGGGTAACCCGCCTGTCCATATAATCTCTCATTTTAATTTGATCACGTTTACATGATAAGTGGGGTGACCCGCCGCATGTTACCTCACCTATCTGGGATCTCCCACCTCCATGTAAACAGGCCTTAACTTAAAGGATATCCGATAATGTGCTTGTTCGTTGTGTGACTTTTTTTGTTTTAAAATAGCAAATACACTGCGGTTTTCTGTGGTGCTAATTTTCCCATCCCTTATAAATATTAACATAAAATAACAAGTGCCCGTTCTTTCTGCGCAGGCTTGTCACTAAGATTTCAAGTTACCGGGTAAATACAACAAGTAGGCGGGAAATCAAACAGCTAGGGATTTCGTTTGGTTCTATTTTTCTTCTCTTTTCCAATGAAAGTAGCTGGGGGCCACATTCATAGCAGCTGGGGGAAATCCCCGGCCCCTGGCTCTTAGTGGCAGCCCAGCTGCGACCTGGTTTTGTTTACAGTGGCAGGTACACTTCGGTTTCCTGTAAAAAAAAAAAAAAACTATTAAATTCCTATTTCCCTCTTCTTGATTAACTTTAAAAAAAACTTCTTTTTTTTTGTTCAACCTTTTGTTTTAGAATGGCAAGTACACTTCGGTTCTTATAAAGAAGTGTCTAATTTCCACTCATTGATTAACGTATCTGCTTATTCGTCGTTTGACCTCTCTAAATCACTTCCTTTTACTTGCTTTCCACCTTGTTAGGTATTTTGTTAACTAACACAACATATTTCATAAACAGTACTATACTTTTTTGCTTTTAGATGTGAGGAAACAGCAACAGATGGCTCAGCTGACAAAAGAAAGAGATCACTTATTTGAGACGATACGCACCTACCGGCTTCTTTTTGAAACTACGCGACAACTCATTAACGAGATGCAAGGTTGGTGGCTTATTTTTGGTTCTTTGCAGTCGACCACATCAACATTCGCCCACAGAGGGAGTGAGACGCAATAATTTTGTCTTATCCTTAAAGTCTCGAGAGTAACTAACATCAATTTTCTCCTAACAATATCCATGCATAATCAAAAGAAAAGGTTATGAGAAATAATAAAATGATCATCAAAATGAAAATGCTTTGATTTTTATCAAATTCTCTCAACTAATGCTGTAAGGAAATATATGGAGATCTGTAGAGAGAATTCTTATGTGGATATTGGGACTTAAAAGATTACTCATTAAGTCAATGTTCCTCCATAAAAAGATTCAAAAGCTGACGCATTAAGTGCTAGCCCGTCATCAGAGCGAATTGAAACTTGATAACACCAGCATTTTTAAAGATTTGAACAACCAATTTTATAATTGAACCATAACCTTTATTTTTGTACATTACAGTGTCAGTGCATGAAGCTTCTTTACAAGAACAGAAGCTGAGAGGAGAACTCAGAAAACAAAACATCCCTGCAAGCAGCTTAGCATCGGTAAGGAGTAATCCTGGTACAGGATCGAGCCACCCTAAGGGAGTAGTTAGAGTACCAAGCTCAAGTCCAGAGGTCGCTGGTTTCGGTTTAACCAGAGGTCCCCTCTTTTCCACAGAGGCCTAGCGGAGAGTAGAACACAGGGGAGAAAACGTACGTGGTGTATGCTGGGAAGCGGAAGAGAGGAAGCGAGGTTTCCGCCATTTTTCTTTCCTTCGTTCCCACGACAGCACTTTCGAGTTATAAAAGAAGTTATGTTCTTGTCGTCGGAGCTTCTGTTAGGGAAATATGAGGTGCATATGTAGCCACACGGCACTGGCTGGTTTTGATTAAAGTTGGATCTGAGTTCAACTCCTTGGCCATGCCTGTTGGTGCCTCTGAAGCTTTTACGTTTACTTTCGTTTTCTTATTTAGACGAAGTGCTAGAAAGTTGTGGATGATGCCTCATTTTGTTACCGTGCATACGTCACACGTTTTGCATATTACCGGAAGGTCTCATTTTGTAAAAATCAATTCGCACCATAGATTAGTATTGTTAAATATCCGTTTCATTTGAATGGTCACATCATAGCTCTGGGAGTGAAAGAGTCAATCACTAGAGAGCTTTAGATTTGAGGAGGAGAACGAGTATGAGTATGAGATTTAACATAAAGTTTCAGAATCCAAGCCCTCTACTGCTTGTTTGTTTGTTCTTAGCCATCAGCTGTGACTACATTGATAGATGAAATGTCAAAAAGAGATCAGATCGCTATTACTCCTCGCCGACAGTGTCTACTTCACCCTGGACCCCGTGGAGACTCTGGTATTCTGGGAAAGGTTTGTTCAGTTTACTTTTCGATGAGTTCACACTATGCTTTAGTCTGACAATTTTTTTTTTCCTTTTTCTAAAGCCATAGCAAAGAGTGATTTATAATAACCGTTATGCATGTTTACGTCAGACGAGTATATTTCACCACCCAGCCTCGTTTTGAAGTTGAAAAGTTGCCAAGTTGTGCATAAATGAATTCCCAGGGCAGAAAAGTTGAAAAGAATATTCACGCCCAAAGGGTGCAAATGCAAACAGTTTTGTTTACAAACGAGGTTTGGTGAAATTTGCTCGACTGACGTAATTATGCAACTTCAAATCTTAGTGACAGCCCTGACCTCGGTAATGAAGACACTTGGCTCTACCTCGTCGGTATACTTTTGTTGCGTGTTAGCGCTAACGCTGTTCTCTGTTCCCCCTGCAGGTAGCTCATTTAGCTCAAGTGGTAGATGACGACGTTGCGCGAGTACTGTCGTGGCACATGGCATCCGATATGGACTGTGTCGTTACTCTCACGACAGAAAAGGTTCGTCCTTAGACTTTCAAAAAAGTCCTTTTTCCGATTTAATATGGCGCGGGACGAAGTTCGACCTCTCGCGACTTCGTCGTACGCTTGGTCGCTTGCTAAGACACTCGTGCTGTCGACTTCTAGCAAGTCTACTTCGTTCCCTAAACCTCGTGTTTTGCCTGCTGTGCTTTTCGCTCATCATAAACTCTCTCCCCTTTTGGGTAGCTAGTATGTACGTAAGTTATGCTGTTCCGCTCTATCCTATTCTACTGGACCTGTCGTTTTGTGCTCTGTAGGGTGTATTTTTATTGCTGACAAGCGTTTGCGAGGTAGCAATACTATTGTTTGTGTAGCGAAAAAATTCAATTTTGTAGTATTCTTTGTGTAGCGGCAAATTCAATTTGTGTCGAATGTAAGATCACCCGCAAACACACTTGGTCATGACTATCTTAGAGGTCTTCTTATATGACGTAGTATATCCGCACAGCGCTCGATTGAATGTTCAAGTTCCTGACAAACGGACAATCTTGCCTGTTTAAACTGTCGAATTCTTTTTCTTTTCCTCCGGTATTAATAAAATCAATCGAGTTAAAGGCTTCCGTGTTACCTCAGGAATGAACCGTAACTTAAGTATTTGCCTTACTGGTCGAAAGCACACTGATTTCATGAGCGAATGTTTTACATCAACGGGCAAAGTCAACGACTAATATTTTGGCACAAAACTGTAAATTCCTCTGCTGCTTATTTCCTGGTAATAATTATTACTGTCTCACTTCCATGACCTCCACACAAGTCCTTTTGTAGCTCTCTAAAATAACCAGTAACATTTAACTAGTTTTTTGTCACTTTTTGAATAACACGGGTGACTGTTTATTTTCAGGCAAAACAAGTGTATCGCGACTCTAATGGCCAGCAACAAGTGCTACCCTTGGATTCTATCTTCAGACGTAGTTTACCAGAATGGAATAGGTACAGACCAAATTAACCCAGTTATTATAGACGCTGTGTCTCTCAGGAGTTTTCAAACCCAAACCTGCTTAACAATTTTACACCATAAATCCTCCATTAAGACCCCCCTCTCAAATGAGCCCCCTCTCACTAATAGGCCTCTCCTTTTCAGAGAAAGAAAGTTAATAAGCCCCCTTCTCTTTAAGCCTCCATCCCCCCCCTCCGCTTATTATTCTTCATTATTTTAATGATAGACTGTATTAATCAGTCACGACAGTAAAACATCGTGTGGACTGATCCAGGACGGTTTATTTACCAACTAGAAGTTCGGAATTGTTATTGATTTTCGGCTGCATGACTCCAACGTCTTGTACTGGAACTTTTCCTCTTTATATTCTAGTTCTTTATGGTGAACTGATACCATCGTTTCTTCTAAATTAGATAACCCCCCCTCTCTCTAACCCCTCCCCCACCTCAAATGGGCTTGAAATAAATAAGCCCCCAAGGGGCTTTAATTGAGGATTTACGGTAAGTTGGTTTTTTAACCCAAAGAAAATTCAGGGAGTGCTCAGGTAGTGCCGATCAAGTTTATAAAATTTCCTGTCAGGTTTTATGAGTTACTCTACTATATTAAAATGTACTATACTATTATCTGCAGGTTTAACCTGGCTTACACTCTCATTCATTCGCGTAGTCAGTTGTGATGTCATATAATGGTGATCTATCTTTTGAATCTGTAGGCGAATTCATATAGAACCCTCTATTTCGGTAGGACCCTATGCGTGATTTTTCTTTCCTGAATTTGTGAAAATTAGACTATTAACCCCCAGTGCATTAGAAAAAGTTAGCAATGCTTGCAGACATGTCAGCAGTGGCCTGTGAATATGCTAGTGAGCACGCTCAAGAATTTTCCAGTGGCCTCAGAGTTTTAAGCCTGTAGCGTAGCTTAGCAATGAGTAGCCATTAATACTGACTGTTAATTTTAGAGCTCTTCCACATATACGAGGTCAGGGCAGTTACAATCCGTCTGGTAACCCTGTGTACGCAAGAGATATGTTGATGTTTCCAACAGAGGCGGAAAATTGCAAGCTAGGTAATACGAATGTGTATGCAAGAGTACTTATTGTAGGGCCTGTGCGACAATAGACCATTAGATAATCATTAGCCTGCTCTATGTTCTCTAGTTTAAAAACAACTGTTGGGCCAACGCTCGAGAGGCGCCGGCGGAATCTCATGCGCGAGTGGCAAGCAGATTGGCTCATTCGATAAGTTCTTGAATGGAGAACTTCTCTAAGGCCAAGGTAATTTGCTTGAAAGAAGACAGTGCTAAGGGGCGTTGAATAGAAATGAATTTTCTGTTTAGGAAGGTGAACGTTTCGCTTACCCGTTGTCAAAGAGATACCCATTGGTGGAGGTCCGTGATTAGTTGCAACAAGCTAGCGTAAACGGCAAGAATCAGTTACATGCTCCCCCCTCCCCCAAATTAGCCGGACGACAGTTTCTCCAAACAGGCAGCTAAACATTTGCTAGTATAGGGTACAAATACGTTAAACCCGGGAAACAGTCCCCCTTAATGCACAACATCCACTTCCCCTTTGTTGACAGTTCCAGTGATTCCACGCTCAGAGGTAGAAATAACTTTGTCAAGATACATTGTTATGGGTTTAGGTTACCACTCCTATGTTCCGTGAACATCTATCAATGCTTGTTGGGTATCAGAGGTCTTTTTTTTCCCTCGTGTGCGGCGGGGTGCTTCGATGTCGGTAACAGACCCAAGCCGCGAGTCACTGTCACCAGAAATTGCGCAAGAAACGTCTCTGCTGTCCGGGGTATACAAAGTTCTTCGTGACTTTCAAAAATTTCCCTCAAACTCAATAATAAATAAATGTATCGAGAAAACAAACAAATTCGCTACCATGAATTGCGACACCTAAATCAAACACTCGAAAGAGTTTTTCATCTGCAATCCAAATAACCTTGACGTCACTATGCCTCATATTTTTCAACTCACTTCTCGTTTTCTGCCCTAGGGGGTACTCCCTATAATGGCCTATACGGAGAGACTCCGCCCGAAAGGGGTACCTTTTTCAGACTTCAGGTATATGGAAGGGTTGGGATTTTACCAGTTGAATTATATGAAAGTGGTGGGAAATCTGTCATTTGGGCCTGTGAATGGGCTCAAAGGGCTGAGCAGATGAATTTCAGTGTTATGGCTTTATAAAGTCGGGAAAACGTTCTATTTTTGTGATTGATTCCTACTTAAAGGACAATGCATTTGCAGCAGTTAAAAAGGGGTACCTTTTTCGTGAAAAATGGTATATAAAAGGGTAAGGGGTTGGACCTCGGGGCGTAGCCTCCCCGTATAAAAATTTGTTGAGTACGCTCCCGGGATTTTCTGCATGTTTTTTGAAACTTTCCTCGGGTTTGATTCATTGCTTGTCTCATTGCAGTGTTCGGTATGTTACTGGGTGATACACTGATCCTAGATGACCTGGACTGTGCAAATAAATACAGACAACAGGTGAGTATACTTGTTGATGATGCATTTCAAGGTGATGTTACATCGGACGATTCGCAGCAACGATTTTTAGCGCCAGACAGCGTTGCAACATTGTTGTGACATTGATTCAAATGGTTGCAACCTTGTTCCAACATTGCCGGCAATGCTGTGCCACGGCTGGCTATTTCATGTTGTTAATATTGCCAATTAAGCTTCCTTGTGCGCAATGAAACTAAACGTAAGGGGAAAAATTTTCTTGTAAACGACAAAATCACAGCTTCTCGTCAAATAAATGTCTCTCAAGCATTCTATGAAACGTTAAATACGAGCAAAATGAACTTTGGAAACTGTTAGGCTAACAAGTTTTCAAAAGTCGGTAATTGCAATCCGTTTTAGTCTTCCTCAGCTGAGTTTGTCCGCCCCTGCCTCTTTTTGTATTTGCTGTGCCATTAATGCTTTGTTTAAATGTTTTGAGCGGTTACGGTATTTTTATGTTTCACTCAATTTGGTGGCGGTTTCTACTGTTAGAATTTTGATACGTAATTCATGACTCAGCTCCTTTAACATCAATGTACTAGTGACGACGTGACATTTTTACATTTAGCCTGTGTAGCTGGCGGGATTGTTATGCCCTATTCAAAACGGGAGAGGCTCGGAGAGGGTTGAATCCACACCAGGCTCCAGGCTACCGTCCAGTGGATAACTCAATTGGTTTCCCTTATACCTATTCGCTAGACAGAGATTTATTTATCCAGTAGATAGCGCTGTCCAACGTTTGAACGACGATGGGGCGGGTTTTTCGAGCCTTTAAGCTAATTGCAAAATTACAGACATAGCTGTGGCTTTGAGATAAAGCCACTAACAGACGACTGCAATGCAATAAAGAAAACTATTGATTTACGCCTGACTATAGTGAACTTAACCAAGGACGTTTTAGAGCGACACGCACCAACCAGAAGTGGCTGTTTTGCATCATTGGTCAGCAGTTTTTTCCCAAATTAAATTTCTGGCAATTCGTCTCAGTAAGAGTAAAGATACCGTATTTATTCGATTAACCTGCCCTGGGCGCTTATTAAATTTTCACCATTTTCAGCAAGTCAAGTATGTTTATTTTGCAACAAACAATAAATGGTAATAACAAAACGCGAAGATGTAACAAAGTAAGGTCTCTGTAAAATGCTCTGAAGAAAACTTCGTCTTCGGGGAAGTCTCTTATTAGTACTTATTCAATTTCAATTTCAATCTCATTGTCACTCAAGTCAATAAGTGAAATCTCTGGTGCTGCCTCCTCGATGTCCGACATCGGGGAGTGGGGTGGGGTTGGGCGCTTATTCGAGGTGGGCGCTAATTTGAGGTTGGGCGCTTATTCGAATAAATACGTACTTAACAAGGCACATTTGTTAGCGTCAAGGTAATGAGAAAAGGCTTCACTTCCGGTTGACGTGTTACGTCCAGAAATGTCTTTGCTTAACCTCCCTTGTGTATTGTTATGATGTAGGTTGTAAAGCACACTCATTGTCCTACGATTCTTACAAGAGGAGGAGATCGCATCAGAAGTAACGGTAAGTTATTTAGCCCATTAACCTTTAAGTGACTAGTGTTTAAGATTTCTCCTTATTCTTACACTGTTCAGTCAAACATAAATATCGATAACATGCTGAGCTGGCAGGTCGCGCAATATCACGTGATCATGGAATGACGCAATGGTGAGGTAGAATTTCTCCTTATTCTTACACTGTTCAGTCAAACATAAATACCGTGAGAAAAAGCACATGATCAGCAAAGTGAAAAAGGTCTTGATTACGCAGGATATGCGTGGAGAACGTTGTGGAGAATGTTTGTATTAATTTTAGGGTTTAAAGGGTCGCACCAATCCCCGTGATACTGTTTCTTCTAGTGAGAATTTTAATCTCGATTGTTTTGCTCTCTTGCAAAGGTAAATTCGGCGGACTGCAGAACAAAGCTCCTCCTCTTGAGAGAATGCGCGGCGCAGTGTTCGCTGCGCCTCTTCCGCTGACATTCCATTCACTGACAACGCAGATTGGTGAGTGACAACTAAAGCTCTTCTCATTTTTCACCGCCAATGTATAACTCCAACATTGCTGCTAATGTTTTTCTTTATTCGTTATGTTGTCAGAACAACTACAAGCTTTTAAACAAGCCGTTATCAAACACACACAAGCCAAGGAAGAACTTTCGGTAAGCTTAAAGAAGCGCATCGCATTGGTTTTTTTTTTCCTTTCGTACACAAATCCACCCTGCTGTCAGTCTTCTTTTCTTGAGAGCGGATGAGAAGGGGAAGTTCTGCGTGAATCGCGTCGAGTCTTGTTTTAACCCTTTAAGTCCCAAAAGTGACCAACGTCATTTTTCTCCTAACAATATCCGTATATTGTCATAAGATGAGGTTATGAGAATTAATAAAATGATTGCCAAAGAAAAATGCCTTGATCATTTATTGAATTCTCTCAACTTACTCTTAAAGGAAATGTATGGAGATCACTTTGGAGAATTTGTATGTGTATATTAATTGGGGCTTAGAGGGTTAAGGCCGCTTTCCTTCTTATCGTATAAGTGAGCGCGACCCCATAACTTAAAGATTTGAATCCGCTTTCACTACTTTTCTGTTCAGCTCGCCAGTTTATTTTCAAAACAAATCGTTGGTAACGGTTAGCTGATTTACGAATTTGATCTTGGAGCATTTGAAGGGAACACTTTCTCTATCTCCTTTCTCTAACAGCTGCAGCTACAGCACGGACAAACGGAGGAGATGAAAATTAAACACCGGGAATGCAGAGAGGCTGAAACCCAGTTACGCATGATTGAGGAGCGTTTGGGCATGACTCCGACCCAGTACAATATGCCTCCCAGTCCGGCCACTATGCTGCTGACAGAAATCAACACTCCACCTACAAGAACAGCTACCTCGCGTCGCTCCAGCGCACGAGCTGCGGCTGCGGCTACCGCTTCTCCGACCTTATCGACTCCGGTCGTAAATGGTTCGAGCAACGCATCGGGAAACACAACTTCTCCGCGAACGAGGCGAGGTGCTGCGATCTCCCCTGAAGATGTAAGAACCAGTAAACGAACGCGCCGATGAACAGAATGCAACTTAAAATAGTTATGCTTGAGGTTGACACCACTTTAAACATACCGCAGTGGATTTACAGTCAAAACCTTAAAGACATGATTTTGTGGTACCGATTATTTGTTAAACGAGGGAAGCTCGCCATGGAAGATGCTTCGCTATATTGTGCCATGCTTTAAAACCTGGTCTTCGTGGTCGTTTAATTTTTCGGCTTTCCTTGCAAAAGATCTACTGACTGAAAACTGTACCTCTGAAGACTATGAGGAGATTCCATTTCTTTACAGATTGTAACAATTTTTCACTTTGCTACTGTATCTATGTTTTCACACCCTCCTTCTAGAAGTTTATCATTATACGTGCTTTTAAAATTTACTTTGAGAACTTAGCGTAAAATTGACATTGTGCTCTGATTCTCTTTCATGCCGGATTATCTCCCGAAACTAAACCAAAAGTGGAGCCGACGTTTTTCAAGTTTACTCCATCTTCTTCAGTCTTGACTATACACGTCTTATCTGAAGTTGAAGACGATACTTGATGTCTTTTTTTTTAATCTCTTGGTTGTAGCTAGAAATTGCCTGACATTGCGCTTTTATATCAGAGACCTTAAGATCGAAGTTTTTCGGCATTTCCCGCTAACCGCGAACGTCAAGAATTCACGTGACCAGTGCCCTGCCGTCAGAATTTGGGTTTGAGGTTCACATTTGTACAGCATGAGCACGCTCTAGAGGTAAGTGATTTACTGCAAGGATTTTTGCACCCCAAGACATCCCAATCCCGCGTTTGAGAGGAAATACTACTTTTTGGAACTCTTTCGCTTATTAATCATCCAATTCGTTTTCATAGGAACGTATTTTTGAAGACAATTTCTGAGCAAATATTTTGCAGTTTGCAGTAAGATGGCCAAACCTCGATCTTAAGGTCTCTTTTCTTAATTTCAATTTGACTGAAATTCAGTTCAGTAGTCTTACTTAACCTTACTACATCCTACACGCCACTAATTTATCTTCGTGTTAACAGGTATTACGGTATTAAAAGGTACTTTTTCCTTCAAAGTACAGTATGAGATTAGTGGAAAATGAATGTTGAGAAATTGTCCGTTTTGTGTTAACGCGTGGAACTCGTTCGGTGTTATGTTGAATGACAATTGCCGTTTTCAAACTGGAGACGGATTATCCGTCTGAGAAGAATTATCCGTTGGATAATCCGTCTAGATGTGAAAACGAGACGATAAACGTATTCACACTAGAGACGGATTATCCGTCTGAGACGAATTATCCGTTGGATAATTCGCGTCAGACAGATAATACGTCGTAATTTGAAAATGGAACGGTCTTAATTTTGCATGGACAATCCGCCTGACTTTATCCATCTGTTTTTCCGTCAATTTTGAGGGATTTTGAAGATAGATTATCTGTCTCAGACGAATAATCCATCTCAAGTGTAAAAACGGCCGTTGTTCCATTTGGACGGATAATTCGTCTGACTTTATCCGTCTTTTTAGACGGATTTTGAAGACGAATAATCTGTCAAAGACGAATTCACACTAGACAGATAAACTCATCCCATTTTTTCTACCCACCCTCGTCCCCAGTGTCTTCTCGCTTTCCAAAAGACACTGGGTCGAGGTTGTTTTTTTTCCTGAAAAGCCTGGCACTAGACACTAGAAAGGGTGCGTTGCAACGAAGGATTCGTAGAACAAAAAGTTTAAAGCACTGATCCCCCAGAAGGTACTCCTGGGAATTCTTGGTGGGGGTGTGCCGCCCCGTTCTCCAAATCCTAATCCTATATCAGACCTAAAACTGTCATTTTTCACACCCGTTTTCAGATCTCACCTCTAAAAAAAACGATTTCTTAAAATCCATTTCGAATTCGTTCTTACTCATTTGGAATTAAAACCATAAATACGTTCATCCACTCCCGTAGTTCCCTCGAAAATCATACCCGACTCCAGACCAAAATGGGCACACAAGGAAAAGAAAAGCGTTAAAAAAGAACACGTGGAGTGAAAGCGTCTTTAATAGTACCGAGAAGCGCACCCCTGCAAGGCGCCTTTGTATCATTAATACTACTTGTTTGTCCTCGCCCCTCCCCTCCCCCAAACAAAATTGTGTAGGCGTAAGCAATGTCTTCAATTTTTCTTGCGACGACTGTAATACCCATGAAAATTTAGAAAAAAAAAAGGTTGCGCAAAATTTGGGCGAGGGTGTTTGTTTGTTTGTTTGTTTGTTTGTTTGTTTTCTCACGGACTGAGTCTCGAGGTCAATAAATACGTTGCGCGGCTGCGGGACCACTGCGGTAAAATTCCCAACGGGAAAGACAGGTAGTCAATCAGAAAACAGTATTAACTTCAGCTCACCAACTCGCGAAAGCTGCATATGATAATGTGATCAGATTTACAGGTTTCTTTTGTGAGATACCGTAAAATACCGAAAATAAGCACGTCCATATATAAGCCCCCCAAACTCGTAACGCAAAAAACCCTCCGTTAAATCGCCTCTCCAAATATAAGCCCCCGTGGGCTTGTACTTGGAAAATTGCCCTCAAATACAAAGTAAAACACAGCAAAAAAAGGTAAATTTACTTCCAACTATAAGGCTAACCCAATCGATTTCGAAACGCAAATTTCCCTTCGTAGATAAGCCCCTCCAAAAATAAGCCCCTCAAAAACGGTCTTTGTAAAATATAAGCCTCGGGGCTTATTTTCGGAATTTTACTGTATGATTACGCGTATGTGTGACCTTAGGATTGTGCCCTGTTCACGTTGTGACCTTCGACCGTGCTCGTGATATTATAGTGAGCGCCTCTCACTCGACTGTTTATGAACCAAACACGAACGCTCCAGCAAGTAACAACAGGATACTGTGTTCCCTTCAATTTTTTCTGACGTGGAATTTAAAAAGGACAAGTAACAGGTATGATAATCAAGTACTTAATCACCTTTCATTTTTCGGAGATGTTAAGGAATTTTTGCTCTACTGTTAGCGTTTTAGAACTGAAGCATTTGTACCTTCTTCACCTTTATAATTCTTCTGACATCTATTTGGTTTCAGTTTTTTGAATCTACTACTTAATGGTAAAGCTTCCTTATGTATTGCAGCAGTTCTTAGTGACTAGGTCTAATCATAGCAAACAACGTCCAATTTCTCAGAGTATTACTGCTTATCATGGAAAGGCGATGAGATAATTTAGAGAGTATTGTCGATGATCCCTAAACAAAATCGTCATTAGTTTTTTAAGAGCCACATGCAATATCAGGCCAATATCGACAATCGGGTGGAAATGTACATTATCAGGGAAAGAAATGTAAAGAATATCACCTTTCACAGTAGATTTGTTTTTAACGTTTTTCTCCAACTGTTAATTAGTAATTGGTTAAAGCTAATTTCTTGGGGATTTTAGCTACTGAAGGGATAGAACATATATAGAGGGTGCCCGTTTGATTAATCCCTCCCTCTCCGCTACTGTCTACAAAACACTGAACTTGGACACCAGCAACTGTTTCTTTTTATCGCACAGAAAATAAGTGTCTAGACAAAGTGCTCCAAGGGACGGACGCATTTGATGATGGTATGGCATATAAGGTTTGGTAACGGGTATCAAGAGGCAACAGTTTAGCCTCACTACTGTCTGTCTATAATTGCTCCCCCCCCCGGATCATCATATGGGTACATGATTATCACTAGCTTAAAATGAGAAGTCGATGCAATCGATTTGTTGTCCTTTACCTTAAGTAATTTCTGATGGCGAACTAGCCTGCGAAAGCAGAGGCCTTTTTCTGCTTTGCTTTACACACCGAGAAAACAGTTTTCTAAGCGTGTGAAACTATTGGGGCGAAACCTAAAGCCGAAAAAGGCGTCTGCTCTCGAAGGCTTATGGCGTACGGGCCAGTTTCGAATTATCAAAATTCTGAGGGAAATAAAACTAAATAAATGGACTATTCATCTCCGAGTCTCAATACCATTTCCTTAGTTTTATACCACGCAGCCTCGGAGCCAAGCAACCTTGTTCCCATGGTTCTCTCCCATTCGTTCTCCGAAGCAAGAGAGACGGGGAATTAGTAGCGGAGAACCCTGGAAACGAAGTTGGGAGCCAACTCGTAAATTCAAAACAGGCCTATTGAAAGTATCCTTTGCTGTTAGACTGCGTGACTGTTCACATCGATCTTGTGACACTCAGGCCCGGTTCAGACGCCGAACTTTTCATGAGCCGAACCTAATTCGAATTAAGGCCGACCCAAATTATTTAGACCGGCTAAATTGATTCAGACGCCGATCTTAATTCCATCCGAACTAAATTCAGAAAGCGAAAAATGCGCATTTTGGTCAAACTGCTTACAAAATACGTTATAAGAATTTATGCATTAGGTTCGGTACATGAAAAGTTCGGCGTCTGAATTAAAGGCGTTCCAAAGTCGATCCAAAGGCGAAATTCCCGGCCGGGCTAGGCGAAAAGAACGGGTGAGCCGTTCCAAATTGAAACAGGCGTTCCTAATTGATTCAGACGCCGAACTTTTCATGTACTTAATTCAATGTATTAGGTTCGGCTCATGAAAAGTACGGCGTCTGAACCGGGCCTCAGTTGTCGTGCGTGTCTTCAATGAGTTCTTTTCTCCTTTTAATCATTTCAATCAGATTCTTATGGAAGTCCCGTAAAATTCCGAAAATAAGCCCCGGGGCTTATATGTTTCAAAGGTCTATTTTGGGGGGTTATTTTTTGAGGAGCTTATATTCAGAGGGGCTTATATACGGAGGGAAGCTCTCGTTTCAAAATAAGCTAGGCTTATACTTGGAGGGAAATTTGCGTCTCAAAATCGGTTGGGCTAACTTATAGTTGGAAGGAAAATTTATGTCAGTAATTTGCAGAAAGGTTTCACTGAACCTGCCTTGAGGAAATACACCTTTGTAAAACGCAGCCATGGAAGCACTTGGTCTACATGGACCAAGGAAATCCAAGGCAAGAGTGAAGAGTGAACTATGCAAACAGCAATTTCTGATTACAATCATTTGGTACAC